TCTAATGACTGTCTCCAGCTTCACCTGGGTGCAAATATGCTAGACCTCCCAGTTTTCATTATGTTACAATAGTTTACTACAATCCACACAGATGAATGCCATCCCATAAATAAAACACAGCTGAACATCATCTGGAATCCTCTACTGCAGCCCATGTGACATCAGCAATGACGTCCCTTGTTCCAGCTCCGCTCCTAAATCTGGCTAAAACTTCTAATGGTTCTTCACTGATATAGTTGCAGTTATTTTGAACAATCTTCAGCAAAAGTTTATGATATAAATGTTCCCATTCTACAATCCCTGCATTGTTTGATAACCTTTTTTAAAGAATGGGAAGCAATATAGCTCTCTTCCAGCTAGTTGGCCAAGTAGCTGTCTTCCAAATTTCTCAATGAGCACTTCCAGTATAAGATACATTTGTTGAGGCTTCTCCAATGGCATTCTGTCAATTCCTGAAGCCTTGTAGCCCACCTGTTCTGTGGGTGCAGCTTGATACCAGCAGTTCTTGATCATCTACTGTCTCCTGAAATGATTGAACATCAACCAGTTGGTGCTGGTACAATACGGTGTGTTCTTTCTGTCTTCTTTCAATACTTTCTACATCATTCAATGTGTTGCCCATATGATCATTGGGTATTTTAACACAAGGCTTGGATTTTCTTTTGAATTCTTTCAGGTTGAGAAATGTTAATCATGTTCTCCCTTTTGGTTTTCTAACTCCAAGTCTTTGCACATTTTATTCTAACACTTTAGCTTATTTGGTTGATCCACCTGTTGAAACCCTTTGTTACTTAGAGTTCATTTCACATCATCTCATATCCAGTTGGGAAACTCACACTGTATAAATTCATTAACCACCCCCCAAATCTGTAGTTTCCATATGTACTGCATAGGTGTAGATTCTGGGTTAGCAAGCATTTTCCCTTTTCTCTACTTGAAAACTACAATTTCACTGCTTCTAGCCTCCATCGTTTCTGATGAGAAGTTGATGTCCATTGACAGTATTATTCCCTTGAAAGTAATGCCATTTCCCCCCTGGCTATTATCAAAGTGTTCTCCTTTATTGTTGGTATTCAACAGTTTGAATGTAATGTGCCTAAACAGGGTTTTCCTTAAATTCATTCAGTTTTGGGTTCACTGAGTTTCTATATTTGTGAAATTATGTGTTCCTGAAAATTTGAGAAGGAAAAGGTGTCTATTTTTTTCAAATCATTTTTCCTATCCCATCCTCTTCCTTCTTGCCTTCTGGGATTCTAACTACATAGGTACTATACTTAAATTTTTAAAATTATTTTTCTTTCTGTTCTTCAGAAGGAGAACTTTTATTGCTCTAAATTGCTGACATGCTCCTCTGTTATTTCCTTCATGCTTTAAGCCTCCTCGAGTACATGTTTTTATGTCAAATGCTGTATTTTGCAGTTCAATTGAGCTCTTTTACAGTTTCTATTTCACCTTTTTATTCATGTGATTGCATTTTCCTTTCCCTTGTTGATAATGGCTATAATAGCTATGTTAAGATCTCTTCCCACTAACTCCAAGACCTGGACCATCTTTGAATTGCTCGTGCGTGACGATATCGTCTCTTTAGAATGGGTCACGTTTTCTTGGATTTTGATTTGTCAAATAATTCTGGGCTCTATCTTGGCAACGTATGAACATAAATGCTCTCCTACGAAGATTCTGAATTTTATTTCCCTGAAGAACACTGACTCGTGTGCTTTAGCAGGTAGTTAACTTGGCTACACGCAAATTAAAAACACTCTCTTTTGGGTGGCAGCTCCCATCTCAGTGTAGTTATTTCATTGCTATATGTTTCGCTTTGAGTATGTTCCAGGAGTTGGGGCTAACCAGAAATGTGAGAGCAATAAGGAGCTTTCCCCTCTCTCCCTCTCTCCTTTCTGGAATTCTAGTCTCATTTCCCCATAGCTCTGCTTAGCCTAAACTCTATTCTTTGAGTCTTCAAATAAAAAAGACTGAGAATTTTCTATGGGAGCTTAGCCAGCCCAAATTATGTTAAAATGACACTTCCCTTCATCCACATGTTTTAAATATGAGGGACTCACTTTATACTGGTACCTTATTCCAAGTTTTGTGTCTGGTCTTCCCATTAGAATCTGTCTGCTATTTCATTCTGTGTTGTCTCCAGATACTTGTGTATCTATGTGTGTATCCAGACTATATAGTTGTCACTAATGAGAATAGCAGATCCAGAAGGCTTTACAGAGCCATCCTGGAAGTGGAAGCCAAAAAACCCTTAAGAAACATTCCTCTGCATTTTCTAAAAATACTTAACCAAACAGAGTAACAGGTGGATTTAGGAGAAATTGGTTAAGTAGAGATTGAAATTAGACTTGAAGTTTCTTTACTCACCTAGTCAACCACATAAGGATATTCGGAATATCCTTTAACGTATAAAGTGAAATGACATCTATCTTACAGACTGGCAGCACTTAATCTCCAAGCAGTGAGGCTCGTACAGGATCATGACTACCAAAGATTATCTCCAGGATACTTTGTATGGTTATTTATTTTTCTACTTTGAACCTGGATAGCTTTATAACCTGTTTCATTGAGAATTACAAGAAGTAATATCTTAAGAGAATCATCACAATACCAAAACTAGTATCTTTCAATATGAACATACAGTTGATAAATGCACATGTCCTTCAAATAATGACCATTATATCTATCAATTCTTTTAAAAATAGCTTTATTAATATATCACCTATCAGACAATTTAATCATTCAATCACATTAAGAAGAATTTTGTAGTCATTACCACAATCAAGTTCAGAACATTTTTTTTGAACTCGTTGTTAGCGCCCCATTTCCGCCCCACCCCAAACTTCCCTTGCTGTGCTTCTCAAGAACCAAATTCACTGCCGTAGAGTCAATCCCAGCTGATAGGGACCCTACAGGTCACGGCAGAACGGCCTTTATGGGTTTTCAAGATTCTGAATCTTTATGGGAGTCGACTTTCTCCATTGTAGCAGCTGGTGGTTTTTGACCTGGCAGGTAGCAACCCAACATGTCAACACTGCATCGCCATGGCTCCTGGGTAAGTATAAAGCCAGTTGCTGTCTCTAAAGTTTTACTTATCTGGATTTCATATGCAAGAAATATATATATATATATATCATTTCTTGAACACTTCTTTATATCAGGCACCTTGATCAATGTAACAGATAAATTGAATCCTGTGTAACCACTTTATGAGATAGTTCCTATAATTAGCCTAAATTTGAAGATGATGAAACTAGAGCTCAGAGAGGTGAAGTGGCTTTACTAAGATCACACAGCAAATAGCAGAGATCTGGATCAGTCCACTCAAAAAGAAGAAATAGCAAAGATGGTGTTTGCTCTCATGAAGCCCATTATGAGGAGAGAGGAGAGGGATCTTTTTAAGCAGAGTAGTAAATGTGGGTTCTGAAAATAGAAACTATAACCTACTATTCTACTCTCCGTTAATGCCTAATATGAAAAATGATACCGTTTCAGACATAGCTTTCCGGTTTGACACCTTTCATGACAAAAAGAGCTTTGCTGCAGGCCTTAAAAACACTAACCAATGTTACAAAAGTTCCATCCAAGGCTCGGAGTAAGGGGCCATGCACCCCCAGGGCTCCGTTTCACCTCTTGCCCTACCCTGCTATGACACCTTCCTGGGTTTACATAGCCTCTCCAGACAGGCTGAGAGAGAGAAAACAGAAACGAGAAGCAGTACAGATGCCGGCTGTGTCCCACTACCATCTACATATAGTTGGGGAGCATGTCCGCAAGACATCACACTGTCTCACAGTCCTAGAAATCCTGCAGGTGATCCTATCCTATTTTGTAAACTTTGCCTAAGCCCGTGGATTTCATGTGACCACGGAATAAGAAAGAATGGAAGTAGGATCAAAAGTACCATATATACTCATATAGAAGCCGGATTTTTCAGCACATTTTTAATGCAGTTTTTGTGGTAAACTTAGGTGGCTTGGCTGATAGTCGGGTCAGCTTATACTTGAGTATATACAGCAAGTAGAAGATGCTACAGAGTAGACAAGACAAATACACAACAGGAGAACATGTATTAAATTGATTCAAAAAATAAATATGCATATTTTATTCTGGCGCATTGGCTGGGTATTCAATATATAGATTTATATTCATTAAATACACCAACTTATTTGCTAAGACCTGGGAAGGAGATGCACTGTTAAGAGAATAACGACGAAATGGAGTGCTAAAAATAAAAAAAGACGATGTGTACACACATGAGGTCTATGGAGAGGTTCAAAGAACACAGTTTACTGACAACAAAGTAGGAAACATTTACAATATTATTACAAGATTGCTAATAATAATCAAAAATTAAATGCATATTTAAGAACTACTCAAAGATCTTTAAAGGCAAGTAGTTGCTTTACTCTAGCTTCAAGGCTTTCTGTGAAAGCAATCCTGCTCTGTCTCCATGTACGCCATGAAGGCTTCCTCAAGATCAAGATTAAGAACACTCCCACACTATTGAATACCCAGCCAATGCCTCAGATCGGAGGCATGCCCCTGCTGCTACCCAGTTCATTTCAATTCCAAGACCATTTCAAAGCTATGCACAGCACAAGCACTTGACTTTGTACCTGCTCCACTTTACTCTTTATGCATAAAAATGATTAAACATGTATAACTGTATGGTGGGGGGGGATAATATAATATTATGTCGATCAGGGAACAGTTCAGTTACATTTCATGGAAAAGAAAGGTAATGCTTTCTTCAAAGACTGAAGTCATCACTCTTTTATTTTACTGACATAATATTTATATCCCAGTTTTCAAATGGCAGCTACAACTAGAAGTCAAGAGAGGATAAATTCGCTGAGGGAATCTAGTCCTGAAATTTCACTGTTTCAAAATCTCTATTTTATATGTACATAGGAATATCACCACTATTATACAAATGCCTTTCACAGGTCAATTATACGGAACTCTGAAAACATTCCAAATGAATCCAACCCTACCTCTCAGACTACTGCTACCTCCTGGATGTCGTCAGGGGCCGTTTGCACAAAGCTTGTCTCAACGGTCTTGGCAGGCAGCCAGTCCCCGGGATACCTATGATCACAAACAAGAAATGCAGGTTATCATGGGACAGGGACTCACGTGACTTCTAAGTACAACTTCCTTAGGAGCATTCGTTGCAAATACTGAGCTTGCATGACTGTGTTGGTTCTCTTGTGAGTCCAGGATAAAAGGGCATGTGTGATTTTGGCAGGCATCAGGATCACGTACACGAGAGAGAATGTGGCTCAGAAGGGTCTGAGTGACTCGCACAGAGCACCGTGCTCAGGACTGCCCTGATGGCAATATTTGATCCTCTTTGAGGTTTCGAAACTCCTGATGTTATAGCATTCCTGTTTGCAAAGAGAGGAGGCTTACCCCTTTGAACGTGGTAGGAAGAACACTTCTCTGATTTTGTAGTGTTCTGTACTATTAACCTGTCAGGAGCGCTGGTGCCAGAGGGGTTACACGTTGAACCAGGTGTGTACCTTGAACGCACCAGCAGCTCCACGGAAGGAAGATGAGGTTTTCTGTCCCCACGAAGATTTATGAGAAGTAACCTTTGAAGCACACCAAGGTCTAATACCAGGAAATGTGTGTGTCAGGGTGCATCCTTTTCACTATACTTAGTTAATCTGTAAGCTGAGCTAATATGCAGATAATACAAATTTGCTTGCTGAAAGCAAGGAGGACTCGAAGCACTTGCTGATGAAGATCAAGACTGCAGTCTATAATATGGATTACTACTTAATTCAAAAATACACAATCTGGACCAATAGACAATACATGGACCACAATAAATGGAGGAAAGATGGAATCTGTAAGTAGTAAGGATTGAATTTTTCTTCATGATCAAAGCTCATAGAAGCAACAGTCAAGAAATCAAATGATGTATTGCATTGGGCAAATCTGTTGTACAAGAGGTCTTTAAAATATGTTATAGCAAAGGTACCACTTTGAAAACTAAGGTGTACTGGGCCATAGCCATGGCATTTTCAATCACAATACATGCATGTGAAAGTTGGACAATTAACATGGAAGACTGTCAAAGAATTTAGGCATTTATATTATGGTGCTGGTAAAGAATATTGAAAATACCATGGGCTAACCGAAGAACAAATAATTCTGTCTTGGAAGAAGTACAGCCAGAATATTGCTCAGAGGGGAGTAGGGAGAGACTTCTCACGTACTTTGGACAAAGTAGAAGGGCATTGCAAAAGAGATATACCCTCAGGATGTAGACTGGCCCAGTTGCTGCCACAAACGATGCAAATATAACAGTTTTAAGGATGGCATAGTATTTCCTTCTGTAGTACGCAGACCTGCTCTCAATTATAACCAACTCAAATGCAGCTAACAATGATCTAACCAAACATGTGTGCTTATCTGTATTTTAAAACGTTTCTTGAAATAAGAAAGAGAAAATGGGTGCATAAGCAAATGTGGCGAAGAAAGCTGATGGTGCCCGGCTATCAAAAAGTATAGCGTCTGGGGTCTTAAAGGCTTGAAG